TACCTGAATATAAAAAGCAGGGATGGGGATGGGAATGGTTCTACCTGTCAGGTACCCATACCCGTACCCGAAACCGGCCCCGATGGTTACCCAATATATATATATATATATATATATATATATATATATATATATATATATATATATATATATATATATATATATATATATATATATATATACATATAGATATATATATATATATATATATATATATATATATATATATATATATATATATATATATATAGTATTACTTATGTTTTTATTTTTAATAATGCATAAGCAAATTTTCAGTAGACAAAGTAAGGTTTTTTAACAATCAAACGTATAGTTTTGGGAAGAATTTTTATGTCTTTTTTTTTGCAAAAAATCATTTTATTTGTAACCTTGAATGTTATTGTTCGTGTTTGAAGACATTTAGTGATTATAGTGTTTTATATTATTCTGTTAGTTTTTGTTTTGTTGGTTAATATATAATTATGAGTTATTTTTCATAAAAGTTCAAAACTTTGTAACGGGGAAAAATCCCCGATTACCCATTGGGGATCCCCGATACCCATTGGAGATGGGGATGGGGATAGATTTTTAATCCCCGATGGGGATGGGGTTGCGTATGGGGATGGGGATCGGGATTCGGGTATGGGGACGGGGAACACGAAACCCGGTATACCCGTACCCATTGTCATCCCTACCTACTATACTCGAGTAGGGTGTGTCCTTGTCCTGGTCCTTGGCCATCTTAGTTCCCACCGACAGCCTGCTCATGATATATCATTACCTTGTGGAAGACATACTGACAAATACTCTGGTTGAAGATCGCCATCACTGCTACCCCGCGGGGCTTACCCCCAAGCTCAAAACCGAAGATCGCGACACCTCTTATGTTTCCCACAGGAAACAGAAATAGCACCACTCAGATCACAGAAGGTGACGTCTCCACTATCGGCCGATTGCTCAACTCAGGCTGCAATCCTTCATATAATACCATCTCCACTCATCTTTGAGTCTTGCGACTCTAACTGACATCTCACTAAAAATCTCTTGGAAATCAACTCAAATCTCTTCTCAAGGTATACTCTGTTGAAACTTGTTCAACATGGCCCTCTGACCCCATATTCTATTGGATCCGATCATAGAGTAACCCAAAAACGACAGGATAACTGGAAAAAGCACAAACACTATCCGCTATGAAGCATGGTACTCGAACCATGATATCACCTCTTGCTCTGCTACCGATCATGGTACCCAAACCATGACATCACCTCTCGATCTGCTTCCGATCATGGTACCCGAACCATGACATCACTTCTCGATCTGCTACTGATCATGGTACCCGAACCATGACATCACCTCCCGATCTGCTACTGATCATGGTACCCGAACCATGACATCACCTCTCGATCTGCTACTGATCATGGTACCCGAACCATGACATCACCTCTCGATCTGCTATTGATCATGGTACCCAAACCATGACATCACCTCTCGATCTGCTACCGATCATGGTACCCGAACCATGACATCACCTCTCGATCTGCTACTCAGAATGTCTGGAATACTCCCTGCATCGAGTATGGGTCCTCTGCTTTCAGTAGTATAAGCCCATACTACCTGCCACATCTACCCATACTCTCTACACGGACCATCCCAAATTCCCTGAGTAGCTGCTCAACCCTCTCAATCACCAATCCCCATACGCTTATTCGCTTCCCAGCGAAATGCTCTACTCTGCCAGCGTACTCTTCTGACTAAGGTCACTTTCTAGGCTCTTCCTAGGTTCCCACATTTCTCCGCCGTCAGCTGCTGAAAAACTCCTAATCATACCAGCCACCTACCTCCTGAATATCGTCATATTCACTTAGTAGCTGTCTCCCATCACCGAGAGTTATACAAAGCATGAAGCAAGCAGCATTCGGGCATTGAATAATCTCTACCAACACGAGAAACCACTCTAGGTACAACTCCACTTGCTCTACTCACGCTCAAAAGATATCACCGAAATCAAGTAACTCTACCCCTCGCGGGTGTCTAACTATTCTCGCAGTAGGTACCATAAATGCTCATCTAGGTATCTCTCCTAGATTACTTCTCTAATCAAATCCCTTCTCCACAAGGTTTCCCTCTGGATACTCTTACCCAGCACATACTCGAAAGCGCATCACAGATAATAGCAACTCCTAGACTAAGGCATCACAACTCAGGCTACTCTAATCCAAAAATATGAAATACCTAGCCTGTCTCTAGCATGTATAATTTCTCATAATATCTCATAACACATAAGGTAAGGGTATTTTGAGAAATCACTGTTCGGGCTCTGGCTGATTGTACACACTAATCTTTCTCGTTTTCTCTTAAAACTCATCCTCGTTTTAGAAAATCATTTATTTTGAAAAACTTTCCTCAATTCCTCAGTTTGAGTTCAGACATACTCGAAGGTGCGTCCGAATCCTCAAACCAAGGCTCTGATACCAACTTGTAACAACGTAAATTTTCAAAAGAAAATTTTCATTTAAAATTATATAAATCCTCATGACCCAATTTATTAAAATCTCATTTGTTCAATTCACAAAACATAACCCATGTTTTAGTAATTAAAAATCCAGGATCCTCATAACTCTTTCTTTGGTGTGTACAATCAACCGGTACCGTCCCGCGATCCTGAGAACCTGAAACACATAACACATAACACGGTAAGCACAAAGCTTAGTGAGTTCCCCAAGATACCACATAAAACACATATTAGCCACTCGAGGCTATAACTCTATGGACCCTCTGGTCCTAACTTTGTGGACCCTCTGGTCCTAACTCTGTGGACCTTTCAGTCCTAACTCTGTAAACTCTGGAACACACATACAGCATAAATCACATAGAAATAATGTGGTGCATCATATCACATAAATAGCATACAAAAGACTCTGTCACATAACTCTAATTACTACTCTAGGTAAAGTATAATGAGAAGACTCACCTGGCAAGCAGAAAGCAGCTATCCTCACACTTGAATCTCGAACTCGCCACCGCCTAACACATAGGATGGATATCTCTTATAATAACTCTTTTTCACGACTCAGATAATCGAAGGCGGTTCCTTCTCTTTCTAACTCTCTAAAGTGGGTAAAAGACCATTTTACCCTTCCAAGGCCTCTATTACTTATGTTGACCAAAACCCCAAAGTCAACAGAAGTCAAGCTCAAGTCAACAGTCCACATTTGACCCTACTCGTCGAGTGCACCCATGTGAATCGTTAAGTCCCCTCGCATCAACTGAACTCTACCTAGGACTCACTCAGCTCGTCGAGTTGACTCCCAACTCGGAGAGCCAACACTGGGTTAAGACTACTCTGTGAAACCCGCTACGACTCGTCGAGTCAGCCATGGACTCGGCGAGTTGGCTCCCACAGCTTTCTCATTCAGCTATTTGAGGTCAGATCTGCAACCCAAAACATAGATCTAACCTCCTATAACCCAAATGTCACACAAAGGTCTGAATTTGAGGCTCATGTACGGTGTATTTTGCTCTATACACCATTTTGACTCCATTGAAGCTCCATAGCTTCAAAACTCCAAGGTTACTCACTCATGGTTGTCTACTTTCTGGATCTTTGGACCTCACAAGGTCCAGATCAACCATTGACTCGAAAAAGGGTTTGGATGCACCCAAAACCCCATCAATATGGATACAAGCCCAACTTTACAATCAAGGAAATCTACTCAAACACAAGGGAGGCAAGACTTGTACCAGATCTAAAGCTTGAAATGAAGACGAGACTAATCCACCAACTCTCCTCTGAGATCCTTGCAACTCCTTTGATCTTCTTCTCAAAGAAATGACCTCCAAGAAGCCTCTTTCCTCTTTAGCTCATAAATAACTCTAGGGTTTCTCTCAAGGGACGAAGACACTGTTGGGAAGGGGCCAAGGAGGCTATAAGTGCCTTTAAATAGGTCCCAAACCCCAGAGTTTAGGGTTTCTCTGCCCAACACCTACTCGACGAGTCCCTCGTTAGACTCGTCGAGTCCACTCATTAAATCCATGAGAGAAACCCGACTCGACTCGGCGAGTTGGACCCTCAACTCGTCGAGTCTCTCCTTTAAATCACAAGATCTCTGAAAATCCGGATGTTACAAGGTCCAAATAGGATCCAATAAGGGCTTCTAAGTCCAATAAATTTGAATTGGGTGCTTATTGGTCCATTAGGCTCAATAAGGAACTCCTAGTCCAATATGGACCTAAACCAGGATTCTTAGGGTTTTCAGACTCTTTGATGAACATAATTGATGAATCTAAATGAGCATTGAGTGAGATTTACTTAGAGTTCATGTTTTACATTAGATGAATGGTTATACTGAAATAGACTTTCCTAGCTAAAATGCTAATTGTGACAAAAATCTACTATTCCAAATAATTTTTGCCATCCTGTTGCGGTTAGTAAATCTCGTATCTCTACGTGACTGATGCGTCTCCACTAGTACACCCGGTGCAAGAATTTCCATGAACATGCACACAAAAACTCCACAATCTCCTCTTTCTCATTCTTCTACTTTTTTCTACTGTGGCACATGTTTAGCTTTAACGAATTTCACCTCAGTAGGTTTCTGTCTATTGGGAAAATGGGCCCAATATGATATGTGGTCTAGTTCACTTAATATACTATCTCCCAATGATTTGAAACTACCATCACCCGCATATTTTTTTTTTAAAGAAACCACACCATTCAGTTGAATCATATATGCTCACTTTCCATGTAAGGAGATCCAAATCAGTCAAATACCAATGCAGTTGCGGTATGTTGATTGGAATTAAAACCTTCAAAAAAATGATAAGTTATTAGATATACACATATTTTAATTTATATATATATATATATATATATATATATATATATATATATATATATACTAACCTGATCAATATCCTTTCAATGTGGTCCATCAATCATCCCGACTTCTATACGCCTCAAATAATGTTGTTTCACAGGTTCCAAAGTCGTGCCTTCAGGATTAATAATCATCCACCTACCATTCGACAAACTTATTTCCTTGAGCAGGGACGACCAGATAACCAAATGTTGCGTGTTAGAAAAAAATTTCATTTTGAACAATTAATTATCCAACACTTTTTGTAATATAAAGTAAGGGATGTGTGTTACCTCAGAGAGCAACCATCCAGAGCCAATACCAAGTAAACTAGACCAAAATTCACAATTCATGTCAGTACCTCTTAAAAGTCTATGCTCCACAAATACCGCCCCCATCTTCTTTCCCCACAATTTCCAAAATTCATCACCACAATCTGCATAATTGTCCAATAGTAATGGTCTTTTTGCTACATTATTTTCCTTTTGCGGGTTTTTCCTTTTTCTGTTCTTCAATGATTCCGTTGACGGAACCTACAAAATCAATATGTTAATTAATTTGGAACAATTATATACTATATAAATAGAAATAATTTAATTTTATACCTGTGTGTAAGGCTCCCTACAAAATTTCAATTTCATTTTTATCCACCCTTTAAACGGTGTAACTGTGTTATGCTCAACTTCAACAACAGGCGGTGGCGTCTACACATACGTATGGCCTGACTCGGGATCCAAACCACCAAAATTTGCTTCCCCCGCATCCACATTTTCCATATCGTTCACACCAAATTGTTTATCTTTTTCCCAATTATCCATTCTCTTCCCAAAGTGCTCGATTGTGGTTTTCAATTTAGTAACAACACCCAATAACTTGTCTATTTACTGTCTTCTACAAGTATGTGGTATGTTTCCTGAAAATAAGAGGGAGGTGTAATCTACTCCCTGAAACTGAGACGGGTGAGGTGATGGAGACCGCTGCATAGGAGGACTCATTTGTTACGGTGATGGAGACCGGTCCTTAGGATGACTCTGTTGTTGCGGTGGCGAGTACACTTTGTCTAGAGTCCAACTTACATAACGCACAAAGAATGGCAAATGGATCTCAACAGGCGTTGGTTCAAAATCACGTGGGATGTTATTTTCCTGCGAAAGTAATAAATTTAATTTAAGTATATAAAATTGTTGTAATTTTTAACTATATATAATTAATATAAGGAATATATAACTATACCACTGAAACGTCTAATATACGTAAACATTGCTCGAGAGACAATTGTGTTTTTATTCTCCATGCCCTCATTCTTGGAATTTTATTTCTGTGTGATGCGCAAATGTCAAAGCTTCAGGAAATTTCTCCAAAATCCATACCTATTATTACGACAAAAAATTATGTTTTGTCCAAACTTATAAACACTTAAAAAATATAAGTAATTGCACCTCAAATTAACCTTAAACGGAAACTGAAAACCTAATAGTGTATACTTCATCGTCTTCGTGTAACCCTCACCCTCATTATCTCGTAAATATCTATAGATTTTACCAAACCATAATTATAATTGTGTTTTACTATACCTCCACAAATACGTACCCCATGCAAACCTGCCGTACTCATTATAATTAATATAAATCATAAAGTATTTATAAATAAATAATAAATAATAAATTTAATACCTGTTCCAGTTATATTGACTATCGGCGAGCTCATACACTACCGACGGAATGCACATATTGTCGTCTCGTCCTATGAGGCCCCTGAACAAAAATACCATTTGCACAACCATTACCTCATCCTCATCGCTACACGTCGAGAATGCTGAACCTTTTACGTAGTCTTCTAAATCTTTTAGCCGTATATCTTCATCTCTCACATTAGGGAACAACCGATTCCTTAATGTTGAACTTGTGCTGACTTTTGTATTTATTATATCAACATACGATCCAAATCTCAAACCGCTAATCAAACAAAATTCTGTTTCACCATATTCAACCACCCTGCATTTTAACTCGAACTGAAACCTCCTAGCCCTGGCTACCTCTACATCACGAACCTCATGCAACATCGTCAAATGATAGAGCATCGGGTCACCATTCGGGGTGGGCATGCCGATGAAGATCCTAAAAGTTGTCTCTCGAAATACTTCAACTCGCCTACTATTTAGTTTTGTAAAGTACTTTTTCAACACAGTCCCAAACGCCCCTCTAAAAGTACATTCTGCAGGCCATCCACGCAAACTATGTTGCAAAAGATTAAACATATATGCCAAAATTTTAAAAAAATAATAATAATCAAAACTCACTTTACATAACATTATACTTTTATTTTTATAGCCTTGTACTTATATATTGTTCTTTAACAATTTTATGCAACAAAATAACGTTTTTATAACAAATTTACAGAATTTTACAGAAATGGTCCCATATATATTATAAAATTTACATAAATGGTCCATTTTAATAATAATTATAGAAATTTTCAATGTTTTTTTTTAAATTACATAAATAAATGGAAATCGATTTTAATATGCATATAATCAACATAAAATTATCTCAATATTTAATGGTCCATTTTAACATATAATAATCCATTTTAAGAGATAACAATTATAGAGAATTGAAAAACATAATAATAATAATAATAATAATAATAATAATAATAATAATAATAATAATAATAATAATAATTCCGCAGAGGGGTTTATCGTTCCGCAGAGGGCTCTTCTGCGGATCTTTTCTTGAGCAGAGGGCCTCTGCGGATCTGTTCTTGACGAAAATCATTGGAAAAATCGATTTCTTAATTCTTCGACTACGGTCCTAACACCCTAACAAACATACATTTGTATATGACATTTAACCTATCAATTTCCAATTCATATAATCAATTTCTACTTCCGAGTTTATACAAAGATTAGGAAAAAAATTGAAATATTACTTGAGTTCCATATCCATCGGATAAAACATCGTACTGCAGCTGCTCCAGGAATCGAGCTCGCTGAGACATTTTTCCGTTCGACGTCCAGGAATCGAGATCGCAAATCGATTGTCGTAGTCTCCTTCTGCGGAACTATGTAACGTAAAAGGGGGATATTTTTTTTTCAATTTACAAATTTACCCATGTAATCCGCATAACACTCGATTCCACGCAATTCCGCAGAGCTGTAGAGGATCCGCAGAGGGTGCTCTCCGAATCCTTTGGTCATTTTCCAAAATCTGTTTTTTCTTGTTTTTTGTTATTTCTCGAATTTTCTCTTTAAACATATTTATTTGCTTGAACATCTTTCATACATTATTTTAAATCGGTTTAACCTTGTATCACATCATGAATCCATCTCATTAAGGATTTCACCTTTAATCATCATTTTGCTCATGTAGTCATGTTGCATAATAAGGCATACCACTTTCTTCACTCACTTGCGCACGATTTCAAGTTTATTCCTTGATTATAGATTAGCATCTTGTTTAAAAGTTTAACTTCCATTTACACATCTCTCATATCTAATAATATCTTTTTCTCGCATTATCAAATTATGGAAAACAAAAAAAAACACTCTCATTTGTCGCACTCTCATATCTAATAATATCTTTTTGTTCAATGCATACATTAATACAAATCATAACTTGTCTAAAATAGGCTTATGTCCAAATACTGATATTTTAAATTGTTTTAATTTATAAATAAATATATCAAGATCGTTAACTTGAGCTTACTTGATTGATTTATTTTACATATACACATAAGAAGAGAATATATATATATATATATATATATATATATATATATATATATATATATATATATATATATATATATATATATATATATATATATATAATTTAGTCAACTCAACACAACCCAGTCTTATTCCATCCAACCAACCATTTCACCTTACAAAAACTACAATCTTTATCTCATCTAATAAAAGATGATACAAAAAACTCATTCTAAATCTATTTTGTGTGCAAAAGACATAAACGCCCTCATCCTCCTTATCATTTACACAAAACTATTAAATGTGACAATGGGTATTGTAATTTGTAACTTGATTCAAAAAGGGAAAAATACATAGATCTGAAAAAAAATCCTGTTGATAGGAATCCGCAAAGTGAATAACGAGTTTAACGAGATGCAAAAGCCAAAAAAAATATAATAAGGAAACACAAAACTTACTTCCAATGACATAATTGATGAAAAAATTTGAAGTTTAGGGAATAAATAAATACCATCAATGATCCAAGAATAGCCATAAGGAGCATTTGAAAGCATTGAAGTGAGCAATGCAGAAGAAGCAATGGCTGAATGGAATGGAATCAGTGATTCTAAGTAACACAACTTATCTCAACTAGTAACCTATTTTTTTAAACAATTTTCACATCCAGACAAAAAAATAGAGCCAAAAGAATTATGAAAAAAAAAGGTGAATCATTGTGGCATAAATGTGCATTTAAGTATTTAACAATTCACCCTACGTCCCTACTTCATAGTAAAACCTTATTATTTCTTTTATAAAGAAACTTTCCTAAATTTAAAAAACAAAAAGATAACTTGGAACTTACCTAAAAATTATATGTAGAAAATTCATAAAATTATTAAAGTCAACGACATGTTCCATAAGTATTTCAATGAACTTAGGTAATTACTTCCTAACACCCAATCCTTGAGTGTACTACGCATAGAACTCTCAAACAGGCCCTTAACAATACTAAAAGATAGTAGAAACAAGTCTGATTTTGATTGAATTAAATAGCTTTACAAGATAGAAATTTCGGATTGTCACAGAATTTCTTTTGGTTGTAACCATAGACTTCCTTTGATGTTAAGAATGATATTGGCTGACAGTTATATTTTCCAATCTCTTCCAAAGCTTTTCAATTCCGATGTTTTGATTCAATTGTGAAAGCTCCACTATCAGACAAAGAGATCAACAAGAAACTGTTCACTTTTTATGTGAAAAATTCAAAACCTCAGTATAAAACGTGGAGCTTGAAGAGAATAGTCTCATTGAAAGTTGGAAAACCAATTGGTGTTGATGGTTGTGTGAATGTTAGCTTGAAAGCTTTTCGAAGTCATAATCAGGAGGTTCATGAACTATCGTTGGGTGATATTCCATTTATGAATCCTTACGATTGGATTTCTTTATTCAATATTGTTGCCAAGGACACTGTGAAGTATGAGCCTATCGTTCAATTTTTTAGAAGGATGTTGAGAGCATATATTCTTGAAAATTGCGAAGATCGATGTTGAGACTGCAGTTGTTCTTAGTTAAAAGTCAATTCTGAAGCCATTTCCAGTTCCTAATGATGTGGAAAAATTGAAGTCTTGTTTCATAGAAAAAGATCTTTGGGTAGTGGCTTATAAAATGAAAGAGAATAAAAAGGTGAAGCATTGCAGATGTTCTTAATAGATTAACATTTATACTCTACAACAACTTTAAATCAAATTGTTGCAAAGGCAAATTTAAACAAGTCAAATTCTGAAGGATATATAAAAGTGTGTTTCGGATATGATCAAATGGTGGACAGTCATTCTGATAACTTTACTGAATACTATTCCGAATGTTTTTGAAGTTGTGAAGAAAACTAAAGAAAAGACCACAACAACAACTTGACACAAATGGGGAGATTGTTAGGGTTCAGAAATATATTGTGTCTAATTGTATGCATTCAGAATGTTTAGTGTCTCTTCTTAAGTTCTGGATTGGGTTTTTGTCATTTCGATTTTAGAATTATATCTAATATTAGGTTTGCAGTTCTGAACTGTCGACTTAGGTTTCCTTTCTAATACTCCTTTGATGCTTATATATAGGGGTATTAGTTAGAAGATTGGACAAAGTTTTTGGGATAGAATAGTTTCACACATTTCATTGTAACAAATTGTTTTCTCTATCCTCTAATGCAAACAAATCTTATTTACATCTTTGTGTTCATCAAAATTGATTGCATCTTCATATGACGTTTTCATTTCAGAATCTATGGTTCCTATAATTCTTATCAAATTGACATGGAACTTTTAACCTTCATTTATGATAAGTCTCCATCGATTATGGTAGCCATTACATATATACTACCAAATGTGCATCAATGTGTTTTTAGCCATCATCTTTTATCTAACTTACGAAGTAATTTAGGAAAAGTCATATTACAAAATTGTTGTTATGGAAGACATACAAAACATTAAAAAAAATGTTAGATTTTGATGTGATTTTTGGAATTCTTGCGTACTACAATTTAAAAAAAAAAAAAAAAAAAAAAAAAAAAAAAAAAAAAAAGAGTTGGGATTCTTATATGTTGCAAATATGAAAAAAATGGTCAAGGGCATATTTCTAGGATTTTTATTATAAGCTTATGACTTGAAACAACGCAAGATCCATCAACACATTATATATTGAGAGATGGAAGGAATATGTAATTCGTGATGCTTTTCTGTTTCTCATGGAGGGGGATTATCGGGGTCGGCCTCATGATCTTGTGCCTTCTTTTGGCAAGCATAGGGAGGAAGATTCTTTCAAACTCAAAGGCGTCCTCTTCATTAAACAAATTTGGAGGAGCCCTATGTAGCTGAAGACGATTTGAGCCCTTTATGATTACGGAAGAAACAATAACTTTAAAATAATATCAACTAAAATTTCAAACACCTTAAAATGTTATCTTTGAAATGAGATCTGTGTTTAAGAGTAATATTAAGAGGTATATGTATTAAAGAATTTTGAGCTTCCATATTTTTGTAAAATAAAAAAAATAAAAATAAAAAAGAAGAATGTTTTATACTTGTAAACTCGGCGACCCACCAATTTCGTAAAATCGGTAAGTCCACCTACGAAAATGTAGGTGGCTTGACATATTGTATATTGTAGATGCCACCTACGTAATAGGTCAATACATATACATATATAATATATGTCAAATACACATTCCCTTCAAATGAACACTTTTATTACATACTTCATTACAATTATCCACTTGATATCTCTAGTATATAATATATAGACTCTTTCATGTACTTTAACATATTTTGATCACTTTTACCTTTACATGAAGAAGCATATAACTTCTAATTTCATAATTTTCATGTGAAGACAAACACATAACTTTAACTCATTTTAGAAATGGAAAATGACTTAAAAACCAATAACATAAAATTTGTTCTTTAGTCACTAAACTTTTGATCGTATCCAATACGGAAACCAACTTTTTATTTTGAGTAAATTACACGAATGGTCCCTATGGTATGGGGTAATTTGCGTGTTTGGTCCTTAACTTATTTTTTTAACTCGGAATGTCCCTACTATTTGTTTTTGTTACACGCTTGGTCCTTACTTTTTGTTTTTGTTACGTGCTCGGTCCCTGTCATACCTAAGAAGATTATTATTTAAATAGGAAAAAATTGTGGGATGGGTAGGTAAGGTGAGGGGAGTGGGGTTGAAGGTGTGTTTATTTAAATAAATTAAAAAATCAATGAAAAAATAATCTTTTTAGGTAAGGCAAGGACCAAACGTGTAACAAAAGCAAACAATAAGGACCTTTCGAATTAAAAAAAAAAATAAGTTAGACACCAAATGTGCAAATTACCCTAAACCATAGGAACCATTCGTGTAATTTACTCTTTTATTTTGATTTTAAAATACAACGATCTATTTTTATGGATTAAAATAAACGAACACCATCATTCACTTGTCACTTCTAACTACAAGCTTCTAGTAATCATTTTTCTTAAACCACTAATCATTTTTCTTAAACCACAACTGATCACCATTGGTAATGTCTTATTGTTTTGTGATATTGTCATTTTAATCGGTAAAAATCTATAGACATGGTAAAAATCTAATATAAGTTTTAACTAACAACATAGCAATTTTTCCCATTGTGAGCTTTACACAACAATTAACGTTGAAATCTCAACAAAGATATCATATAACATATTAACTACAGTCGATAACAAATATCAATCAAAATGTTTATCATAACAACAACACAGTTTGCCAAAATATATTTAAGAAATCTATCAACATTTAAACATATTTATTCGCTTGAACATCTTTCATACATTATTTTAGATCGGTTTAACCTTGTATCACATCATGAATCCATCTCATTAAGGATTTCACCTTTAATCATCATTGTGCTCATGTTGCATAATAAGGTATACCACTTTCTTCACTCACTTGCGCACGATTTTAAGTTTATTCCTTGATTCTATATTAGC